GGTAAGGAGCCCAAACAAATCTTTAATAACCTATGTTTAGGATTTTTTTTCTATAATTCTATCACCAGCATAAAAAACTTAAATAATTAACTAGGTTTTGTATATAAAAACATTATAAACTTAAGTGAGAAGTTGAGAAGTAACACATTAAAATGTTTAATATATTTACATTTTACAGTACAGGCTGGAAGAAACTGTGGAAGCACATGCATGCTGATAAATAAGTTAATCAAACAACTTAAAACTTACTGTTCTAAGTAAGCAGTTTTGTTTTCCATTTTCGATATTTGTTATCTAGCTAGAGTTAGTAGTAATTAAACAGCAGTCCTGTTCAATGTTCCTCTAATTTTTTCAATCCATGTGTGGAATGATTTTTTTTGAAGTGTACCAGTATCAAGGTAATATGTGAATGTGCACTACCAGTCTGTTTTTTCCTGGGGAGGGGGGTATTTTTAAACCATCAACCCTATTGAATCATTAGGCCACTTTGCAATGCTACCAGTTGATTATTTGAGCTTTAGGCCTATCAACTGCCAGGGTCACTAAGGTCGTCAACAGGTTGAGACTCCTCACCATTACTAAGGATGTGCATGGCTGGAATAATTAAGTGTGCGGTACTTGATTGGTTGTTGTACAACCGTGCAACCTTGAAGGAACACTGGTCCTGTTCAAGTGAACATATTAATAAATTAAAGGTGTTACATACTCTTAAACTGTTATTAGTCCATGTCTAGTCATTTCTGACAAACATGGTTATATCAGCAAGGAATTAAAACTGACCATTGAATCATGAGACAACCACCCAAAGCATCGGGTTATGTTAACCGAAAGCTGAACAAACTTGAATTGAAAAAATAATTAGAAATCATAATGGTAATACTTTCAATTACTTGGATAGTTGGAATAATTGAAAACATTAATTTCTGTTAGTTGATTATTTTTCTAAGTCTTGATACTATTTGATTTATCTGAACAAACTTAATGTAATAGAAATTACAATGACAATTTTTCAATTACTTGAATAGTTGGAATAATCGAAAACAGTTAAAATCAGGAACACTAATTGTGATTAATTTACAACAGTGATACATATTTGGTGTATTTTTTTTAACCGTTTCAGTGCAACTGTTGCAAATGTGTTAGAATTCTTTTGAACTTAAAATGTAAAAGACAGAGACAAAACCATTCACAAATAAAGATGAGCTGTGATAACCTTTTCTAACAATAAGAATGTAGGAAAATATTAAGTGACAAGGAAGTTTAGACATTGAGAGCATACAACAAAATGCTAGGAAAAACTAATCATAATCCTTCACATCCATAAAATTGTACAACAAAACTTTAGAGGAGTACAAACCACCAAAACATACCATGTCATTTTTAAAATCATTCCACGAGCACTAAAGAGGGGGGAGCTTAATAATAGAACTTAATTTGTTGATATAAATGATTACTTTAGAATTAATAAATTTACGTGTCAAGTAAAATTATTGATGTATCTTATATAAAATGTACTTTTCAAACATGGCTTAATTGCCAAATTTAACCAAGATTGTGTCAGGCATCATATTACCCATCTTTTCTTTATGAAGTCTCATCTAAGTAACCTACTAAAAGTCACTTATACAATTTTATATTACACTATTGTTGGCCTAAATGATAAGTTTCAAAATTTATAATCAAAATAGTGAGTGACATGTTCTTCAGATTAATTTAGCTTATGACTAGGGATATACCAACATCTTTTAAATTATATTAAAAAGAATAAAACTTTTTTTTTACTAAAATCAAATGGTTAAAAAACCTGCCATACAGTTTTATATCCTGAACAAGTCAAATACTGCAGTGTTCTTCAATAAATTACATTATTTTAAAGCTATTACTTGCTTCTGTCATTGACAGTTTAAAAAAAATAAGTGTCACTTGTCAGTGAGACCACCATTTTCATGTAATACTTTTAAAACTAATGGTATGGGACTCAATCAGAACATTTTCAATATGCATTTATCACTTCAATACTCTATTTATCCATACTTTTCCATTTAATTATACCACTGTTAATTATTTTGACAATTTAACACATTTTATACTTGAACTGCTGGTCCAATATGAAGTTGAATATCCTACCACCATCTAGCTTTCTCTCCACTTGAAGAATAGTAGTACTTTCAGATGCTATTCAAATTTTTGACCATCCTCACATACATCAAAACATCTAAGTACTTCTTAAAATTTTTTGTAATTTATATTTTGTCTTATTATTCAAAGTTTACCATTATGCTAGTTAAAAACAGCAATAATCACGAGGTTTACAATACAAATATCTCAAAAATTATCAATCTAATTCTCAACTGTAGTATCACTAGTAATAGTATTAGTAATACAAATGCTTAACACAAGTTATTTTTATGTCAAAAGACTAAAAAAAAAGTCAAAGTTGGCAAGATACATAATCATCAAAATGCTCTTTAAAATGTATTCTTAACTCCTGCTTATAATGAAAGCCAGGCAATAAAATTAAAAACAGGCAAAAGGGTAGGGCAATTTAGCTACAATATTCTACATAGTCTACTTTCGTACTGCCAAAGCGTAAGGGCTAAGAATAAGATAGACAACTCAACCATTGGAACACTCGATCACAACACTAGCGTATGACGTTCAAATAAAAGAAGAAACTTGTTCTTAGTAAAATATACACAATAGAATATTCTCAAGCCAAATTAACTTACTGTTAAGTACTGTGGTGTCAAGGAACTGATATTTCCAAAACTATTTGTATTCCATAGGTTAGCCATCATCTGCTGCTTTCGTTTTAGATCTCTTACTTTTTGGGTGTCAGCGAACTTCACCACTAGAGGGTTACTGCAACCCTACAAAAGAATGAATTATTCTTTAAACACACTTTTCTCTCTTTCTTTAAAAAATTTCAATTAATAGTTTCAAAATTTTAAATCTAATGAATATAATTAAATTGAAAAGGTGTAAGCAAAACCCTCTAATATTTCCTTTTACTTAGAAATTATTTTGTTATTCTTCAAACAACAGAGAGCAGCACTAACGAAGACCTCAAATAGCTATGTTGATGCAGAAAGCCGTAATATGTTTTGCAAATCACGAATTTTGGAGTAATAATATAACTATAATAACACCTATGAGATACTACATATTTTAATAGCTTGTATATATATATTTTTTTTTTCAAATTGCAAAACATTGACTTCCCCTAAGCATGGCATCACGATGATTCACATATGTGGGTTTGTGTGTGTGTGTGTTTTGTTTTACTATTAGTTAATCAGAACTTTAGTTTACCCAATGAACGATATGCAACCAACATTGTTATTGTGCATAAAGAACAACACCTAGAGCTACAGTGAAATGTAAACACTGAATACTAAGTCCGTAATTACAGTAATGAAATCCGTTCGTTTTGGGAGCCATCTAAAAAGAATCATATAGCTTAACTGTTTGGTTTTATTTTTAACTTACACGATAAAAAAAAAGATTCATTTACTATTTTTTCTCAAATAAACATTGTTCTGATATTCCAATAGCAATGTTTAAATTAGTAGGTTTTGTAACTGAATCCCCAAACTATAGAGCTACAGAACATAAAACCTTTTCCTTGTTAAAGTGCTTAATGAATATACGTGTTTCATAAATTTGTAGTTTCAAGCAATTTCAATTTTATGTACTCTCACCTCAAACATTTAGCTTTAATTTATATTTCCTAGACATTTCAGTAAAAGTTTAATTCCTCATAACAGACAGAGTTCAAATCAATGATAGAAAATACTAATATTGCAACGAAATGAAATCTTCAATATTTTCGACTAAAAGACAATTGCATATAATTTTGTGATAAGTTTATGTAATGAAATTTTTAAAACACAGCATTATTTGAAACTTGAGCATTGACAGCTAAAAAAAAAACTTGCTTTAAGAAAATGCTAATGAGTGTTTTATTCCTTGAAAATAACTTGTACTTTCAAATAATGCTATTATACTTTATTCCTAGGATACATTTCAATAATTAATCAATAGATAGCGCTGCAAACTATATGACTGTGTGGTGATTCCAATACCTTTTACGACGCAAACAACCTAAATTAATACAAGTCACTTGTGGTTGGCAATAAATAGGAATATGATACACATATATTGTAATGTACAAACTACAAGATGCTTGGTCATGCATTTTAGTTTACTGTTGTCCAAATATACTATTCAGAATTAAAACATCATAAAATGATTTAGCCCGTTATATTTAACAAAATAGATAACAGACTGTACTCAAATTTTTCTTTTATTTTGACAAAAATGAGTTATTTTTTGAATAATCTGTGAACACATTTTATTTTCAGTAGAAACTCTTCTATTTTGCGGTGATTCAAAAGGAACAAGCTGATACCAAATAAATAATTAAAATGCAATGATTCACATCCACACAATTAAAATATATTTAAAAAGAAATTAATCTTCAGTATTGCTCACACAGCATTGGATTTGCTGAAAACAAGATTTGCTGGTGCTTTCTGCACCAGTTGTCTAGTGACAGAACGCTGTTTTTTCATATTATGTTAGAGAGTTATGGTAAAAAATAGAATTAATTTATTTTAAACATAAAACTAAAACATAAAGTTAAAAATCGAGAGGAAGAGGTTTTCTAAAGAGTAGAGCGTTTTTTTTTGTACCATATGAACTCATTTATAACAGTTGTAGAGAAAACTAGCAAAATTACACAAGGTTGTTTATTGAATCATGAATGAGCATACGTTAAGACTAGTCTATAACAAAGTGATCCATCACGTGTAATTCTTGAATAAAAAAAGGGTTGAATATGTAAAGTATCTGATAGCAACCAAATCTGACTTAGGTCCAATGTATCTTTGCTGGATCCTTCCTGAGTATTGTCCAATGAAGCAAGTGGTGAGTTATAGTAATTTACTGATATTTTAGGTTTTAAAGTCTTTAAACTCTAAACTAAAAAACTGTCCTTTTATTTTCTAATAGATAGATAAACTGTGGATTTATGTACCTACAACCAAATTTCATATTTATGTACTTAAGTTATACTTATTGTTAAAAAGATTAACAATTTAATATGTCCGTAGAAATTTCATGCCACTCTTATTAACTTTTTTTTGGGGCACGTCCAGCAAAATTTTATAATCAGTAGTTACATCGAACACCAATAAATTACCTACTAGCCAGAATATTATAATCAAAGTTGCAGGTAAAATTTGTCTACAATAACAATTCACAGCTAAAACCAGTTTAACATTGTTGTTTTTCCTTACTTGTAATATTTTAGATGAAACCATTTTCAAATAAATCCATCTTTTATGCGCAAGAAACTGTTTCAGTCTATGTCAAACTTCTGACTAACTTATTTACAAATTTTTATAAGAAAGTTAACGTGTACAATCCTCTTTTAGTATCACTATTATGTTGTTCCTCTTGAATGTTCGTTTAGCTTTACAACCAAACAAATAATGTAATTGGTATGCAGAGGAGCCTATATATTTCTTAACCATAATGTTTACACAAAACCTTTACGTTCAGTAATTATAACGTCAATCTTGAGGGTGAGTAGAACAAAAATTATATTCAACTTAAATTTCCTTGGACAACAAATTTCACAAAAGATACGTTAAAATAAGAAGTTTTGTTAAGAAAAGTCTGGATGTGGTACAGGTGTTTCAAAATAATGTTACCCTGCATACTTAAATCATTTCACTCGCAAAACTAACTTTGCTTATATTTCTCTTCTTTTCCTTTATCTCAATAATATGATAATGGTGATTTGAATAAACGACTGGTAAACTTGTGTCATTGTGTAGGTAGAATTTAGTTCTCCTAGGATATGTAGTCATTACCTTATAATCATTTTACGGTATTACAAGGTAACTATAAAGAAAACCCCATGTTTTGGTAGTAGTACCAGAAAACATGGGGTTTTCTTTATAGTTACCTTGTAATACCGTCTGGTACTACTACCAAAACATGGGGTTTTCTTTATAGTTACTTTGTAATACCGTTATAATTTTCTGTGCTAATGATGAAGTTTAGTTATATACATAGCGATAGATGAATAAATGTTACCCCAGTTATAAAACAAGTATATTTAATAACAAGTATTTTTAAAGACCTTATTGAGAGTTTTCAACTGCAATTTCGAATACATGGTCCTTAGCTTTAAATACTGAAGGTATGTATTATTATACATGGTCCTTAGCTTTAAATACTGAAGGTATGCATTATTATACATGGTCATTAGCTTTAAATACTGAAGGTATGCATTATTATACATGGTCCTTAGCTTTAAATACTGAAGGTATGCATTATTATACATGGTCCTTAGAATTAAATACTGAAGGTATGCATTATTATACATGGTCCTTAGCTTTAAATACTGAAGGTATGCATTATTATACATGGTCCTTAGCTTTAAATACTGAAGGTATGTATTATTATACATGGTCCTTAGCTTTAAATACTGAAGGTATGCATTATTATACATGGTCCTTAGCTTTAAATACTGAAGGTATGCATTATTAGCTATTATTATTCATACGGAGAGTTTGCGTAAAAATTCCTGACGAAAACGATGCCACAGCGAGAAACCGGGTTTCGATACCCGTGGTAGGCAGAGCACAGATAGCCCATTGTTTAGCTTTGTGCTTAACTTCAAACAAATAATAATAATAAAACGATGAAATTTGATGAACGCAGATCTAGTAATGAAAAAGAAAGTTAAAGCTGTATTAGTTATTATTTTTCCAGAACATTATTTTCACTTTAATTAGACAACATTATGTAAAAACAGTGAACAGTCGTTGCCACTACTGTTGTTTTTTTGGAGAAAAGTTTGTAAAAAGATTTAGTAACTGGTATACAGGCGTGATCACAACGTTCCTTGTAAGAAGGGAGATTACTTCTTTCTTACCATTACATTTTTAAATAGCTTTAATCATTTGTACACAGAAGAAGTACTAATTATATTTAGAGATTTAATCAGTGGTAAACAAAGTTTCAGCTAGAATTTTACAACGTTTGAAAGAAGGGTCTACTTTTCTTTTTGATTGATCGTATTTAGATAAGTATAATCTGTGGCATACAGCTGTGTTTGTTTCCTTCCTTTCATGAACGCTTGTAGTTAAATCTATGACGATATCCACTTTAGATGAGAGGTCTATAATAAGATCTGACTGGTGCATACATATGTATACAGTTCCCTTGTTGGATGAAACTACTTTCTCAATATATACAGCTGTGTCTATTTCCTTTTTTATTAAGAAAGTTTTTAACTAGACGTAGTTAATGTTTACGGTTGTATCTTGTCCCCTCTTTTATTAAAAGGTTCCAGACTAGATCTTGACAGTATATACAGGCATACCCATTTCCTTTTTTTCTTGTTTGTTGAAGTTAAATTAGATATTGTCATCGTATCCAGTTGTGTCATTTACCCCTCTTTTCTTAAAAGATTTGTAGTTACATCTTGTAGATGTATCCAGCTGTATCAATTTCCCTCTTAAGCTGAAAGGTTTGTAAATTGATATTGTCAGTGTATCTAGCTATGTCCTTTCCCTATTTTGGTGAAAGGTTTTTAACTAGACGTTGTCGGTGTATTTTGTTATGTCCTTTTCCCTTTTGTTAAACGGTTTGTTTGTTTGTTTGAAGTTAAGCACAAACCTACACAATGGGCTGTCTGTGCTCTGCCCACCACGGGTTTCGAAACCAGGTTTCTAGCGTTTTACACACCACTGTGCCATTGGGGGGGGGGGGTGCTAAAAGATGTGTTGCTATATATTGCTAGAGTATACAGCTGTGTCATTTTCCCCTCTCTTGTTAAAAGGGGAAAAGGATAGGGCTGTATATACTGACAATATCTAGTGAAAAGCTGAAAACCTTTCAACAAAAAATGAAAAATGACACAGCTGTAGCTGTATACACTGGTAAGATCTAGTTTAAAACCTTTTAACAAATGAGGGGAAAGGACACAGCTGTATACATTGACAATATCTAGTGAAAAATTTTTCAACAAAAGGGTGAAATGGACATAAACCTATACATTGGAAAGATCTAATTACAGACCTTTCAACAAAATCGAGGAAATCACATACCTGTATACACTGCCAAACTCCATCTACAAGCTTTTAAACAAAAGAACGAATAGCTATCTACAAACCTTTCATTAAAAGGGAAAAATGCACAGCTCATAGCGAGATCTAGCTACAAGTCTCTCTTGCTTAATAAAGTGTTTGCTTATATTTTGTCAGTTACAATTTTGTCCATTCTCTCCTCATATGAAAATTAGTTAGATTTTACTAATATTTACAGTTGCTTCCTTTTCTAGTCTTAGACAAAAGGCTGTCAATTTAACTTGCCATCATCTACAGCTTTTCCCATTTTTATTTTCACATCGAAAACTGTTAGTTTGATCATGTGGACTGATACAGCTTTGTCCATTTTACTCCTTGCATTGATAGTCCTTTCTCGTTGGCTTATACAGCCGCATGCCCATCCCCATTAGCTAGTTTTATACTTTCTGTTTCTGCTTCCCTTCTTGCATAAAGGTTTTGTTGATAGACTTGGTCAGTGACTTACAGATGTATCAATTTGCATGAGCTATCTATAGACAGGTGTGGCCCACTTTCCTCCAGATGTTATGTACTTACCTCCATAGTCTGAAAGTGATTCATGCCTTTGATAGCATTTATGGCGCACTGGCGAGACTCGTACGTAACAAATCCACAACCTGGAAATATGTCCAAAAAAAAAAAAGATAGGAAATATTAAGATATATGAATTTGAATGTTATTCTTATAACAATAGAGAATTATAGACGTATTATAAATATAACTAGATGAAATGTGATTTTGAAACATATTTAGAGGGAAGAAAGAATAAATCATTTCACCAGTTCCTTATCTAATTTCGTGTAATATTTTACAAAAACATGAGAAATATCATTAACTTAAAACTACGGATACTAGCTTATGGAAATGATTAAACAAATAAGAATTCATTTAAAGACCCCATTCTCCAGTATTTATCTTCCAAAACGCTTAAAACTACAAGAGACCGTTTCAAAATATATCTCATAACGCCTCAAGGGAACATATTTTTCTATTTAAATCTATTACAGTTTGTCAAGAAAGTTTGCTTGAGTCAAGATGTATAATTCGGTTCGAATGGTATCTGTGTTATTGTCTTCCACTTGTAACACTAAGTAGTTATGAAATCATTTATAATTCATACTCTTTTTACAGGTAATACATGTGACACTCAGTAAAATCTGTACAATTTTTCTTTTAAATCAAAACATTAAAAGATGCATACGTAGTGTTACACAATTGCAATATTTTACTTAATCGAGTAGTATTATAATGAGTAATTTATCCTCATCTCCTTTTTGACGTCTCACTTTTGTGTAGTTCTTCAAAAATATACTTCGATCAATTTAAACAACTGGTTATGAAACGTCTTTACTTGTAAATGTTCAAATTGTACTCACATGGATTTGGTGATGTTGACATTCTGTTCAAAATTATACAATCTTATACAACGTTTAATAATGAAAAACAGGAAAAAAACAACAACAACAAAAAACATTCAACCAATTTCCAGGTGAAAAACTGTCTTTAATTATCATTAATATGCTATGCAACTTAATGTTTTTAAAAGCAAAAGAAGAAGAAAAAGAAATCCCAATCATGAAAGACTAGCATTTGATGCACTTAATCCTATTCTTGGGTGTTTTGTATGCACTGTCATTTCTTCTCCAAAATAAGTTAATCTGTATATATATATTATAAGATCTGTTATCCAGGGAAGATCAAGAAAATGTACATTAAATTAGTTATGCTGTTTAAAACTTCACTTTCCTGACTCTCTTTGTCAGAGTGGCTAATTATAGTGTCAAAGTTCACAGCGCAAGAAGAAGAACTTTTAAATGCCAGTGTTTCCATATATGCTAAACTGTCTCGGGCAAAAGTATAACGTAGATAAATTTTAATAAGCTTCATCTTGCAAAGTGATCGTTCTCCTTCTGCGACGACGATTGGAATTGTGGAGAAAATTCAAAAAGTTACATAACAGTTTGAGAAAAATGACTGAATGACATTATGTTAATTGATTTTATTTTTAAATGTTCAGCATTAATTAATAAGACATTGTTTTTTTGCCTTCCTTAGGACATTTGTTTCAGCCCTCTCGTGAGCGTGCTTGCTACTCCTTGTTTATATTGATAACAATAGTGCAGTATTAGCAAATCAAAGAGTCCATTCTATTAAAAACTGTGGTCTTCTTTCATAATCCGTAAGTTTTTTGAAATCATTTTAAATACCGAACGACTTGCGTCCCTACATGATGTATGTTGGCTTGTTATTATTTTTCTGCACAAAGCTACACAATGACCTATCTACCATCTATGCTCCGTTGAGAATCGAATCCCCGAGTTTAGCATTGTAATTCGTAAACTTATCGCTGGCCAACCGGGAGACCATGACGTATGAACATAATGTTCGGCTAATAATTAATTATATGTTTCATAGCTAATTAACTCTCTTATTTTTTGGTTTTAAAAAGGTTATAATGAACAAATTAGTCAACTAACTTGGTTTTCTTGATTTTTAATTTTGTGATATACTTTGATATTTAAAAGCTCAAAGTTCGATAAAATACAATAACTACTGAGTGGCAAAAACAAACAAAATATACAAAAACACCGAGCGGCAAACTCACACAATGTACACAAAAATATCGAATGTCAAAACCACACACACTATATATATATATAATTACTGAATGTTAAAACTACACAATGTATAAACATAAATACTGAGTGTCAAAACCACACAATACATGCAAAAATACCGAGTGGCATTATGAATTAATTAGTATGAATTTGTAAACCGCTGGATCTTTGCTGTTGTCCATAAATCATATTTCAATACTCTTTTCTTGTTCATGATAATTATATAAGCTGAAAACCAATTAATTTTGGTTTATTCAAAAATCCTATTAAAGTAGTAGAAAATGAAATTTATTAAATATCCACTATCTGATAATTACAATTCTATGGACAATCTACAAGGGTTGAGCGCTTTGAAAGATTGACCTTTTGAACATTACGAGTAAGAGAGTATTTTTCTTATGCTTTGCTGTAATTCCCTTTTTATTGATTCCGCGCTTTTATTCAACTTAAAATGGATTCTATAACATAATAAGCAAGAGCTTTCAGTGACATTTACCCTCTTACTTTTATTTAAGAATATTTTTGTGTAACAGTGTATTAAGATAATCATAAATTATTTGCTTTCCTCGATGCATTAATTTCTGTGGATGTACGGTTAGTCAATTTGTTAGTATTGGCTTTTATTTTTTCATCTTCTCCGTGTGAAGTGTCTGAGATTTATAAAAGGGGAGAGACGTCTTATTTAGTTTGTAATCAGGTCTAGAAAATCCTATAATGTCATCCGTTCCTCAAGGCTAGGTACTAATATTTATGTGGACATGAATCGTTATGATTGGACGTTGTGCAAGTTGTCGTGATTGGCTTTGTTTCGCATATTTTGACAACTGAAAATCCAATTTTTAGGTGAAACGTCAATCTTAATATCAAAAGTATAAAAAACAGGCTTTAATTAAGAAAAATTCAGATTATCTTAGGCAGAAGTCCAAACGAATATATGCGCATACCTCTAGTGTAATATCCGTTGTCTAGCATCATGGATAAGCAAACTTAACAATAATTTTAGTTCCCTTTAGGGTACACACATATATATATTAAGGCGTTAAGTAGGTCTTGTCAAAGAGAGGTTTATTTTAAAAACTGAAGAGTATGCTGGAATATACGAAACCGATATTTATGCTTATATGTATGTGTGTTTTTATTTATTTGTTTTAAATTAACAATAATGGAGAGTTTTTAAAATATTTAAAACTATTTTTATAATATTTCGCTTATATATATATATATATGCGTGTGTGTGTGTGTTTGTATAGAAACTTGCATGTATTTGAATAAAATAATTTCGGTAAAATTTACATTTTGTAAAGCGAAATTCGCATATTGGCCAACAACAACGTAATACAAAAACTTTCAACAGTAAAATAAACGGATTCTTAAACTGAATAGGACACGGATTGGCCTTATGATAGGACTCTGTATCTATATCTGTATTTTACATTACTAGAGAGCTGACACCACACACAACATATATCTCTATCTTACATTGTTAGAGAACTGACACCGTAGACAATATATGTTTATATGTTACATCATTAGAGAAATGACACCGTAGACAATATATTTCTATATTTTACATCAGTAGAGAGCTGACACCACAGACAACATATATCCATATTTTACATCAGTGGAGAGCTGACACCATAGACAATATATGTTTATATGTTACATCATTAGAGAAATGACACCGTAGACAATATATTTCTATATTTTACATCAGTAGAGCGCTGACACCACAGACAACATATATCCATATTTTAAATCAGTAGACAGCTGACACCATAGGCAATATATATCTATATTTTACAACAGTAGAGAGCTGACACCATAGACAATATATTTATATTTTACATCAGTAGAGAGCTGACACCACAGACAACATATATCCATATTTTACATCAGTGGAGAGCTGACACCATAGACAATATATATCTATATCTTACATCAGTGGAGAGCAGACACCATAGACAATATATCTATATTTTACATCAGTGGAGAGCTGACACCACAGACAACATATATCCATATTTTACATCAGTGGAGAGCTGACACCATAGACAATATATATCTATATTTTACATCAGTAAAGAGTTGACACCACAGACAACATATATCCATATTTTACATCAGTGGAGAGCTGACACCACAGACAACATATATCCATATTTTACATCAGTGGAGAGCTGACACCATAGACAATATATATCTATATTTTACATCAGTGGAGAGCAGACACCATAGACAATATATATATCCATATTTTTCTTCATTAGAGAACTGACACCACAGACAACATATATCCATATTTTTCTTCATTAGAGAGCTGACACCACAGACAATGTATATCTATATTTTACATCAGTAAAGAGTTGACACCACAGACAATATATACCTATATTTTACATCAGTAGACAACTGACACCACAGATAATATATATCTATATTTTACATCAGTGGAGAGCTGACACCATAGACAATATATATCTATATTTTACATCAGTGGAGAGCTGACACCACAGACAACATATATCCATATTTTACATCAGTGGAGAGCTGACACCATAGACAATATATATCTATATTTTACATCAGTAGAGAGTTGACACCACAGATAATATATATCTATATTTTACATCAGTGGAGAGCTGACACCACAGACAATATATCTATATTTTACATCAGTAGAGAACTGGCATTATAGACTTTCTTCTTTTACTGTGTAAAATACAATTGCTCTTAGAGCTTTTATTCTTGCTTATATGTAATTAACTAGCAACTTTGTGGATGGTTCTAAAAACGGCGTGCGAAAATTGGGTATTTCAGTCAAAATACGAAATAATTTTTTTTTTAATTAAACGTTTTTCTTGGTACATCTACGTCATTAAAAGGACTTTTGCCAATTCGACAACCTTGTTTTTATCAAATTAAAAAAAAACGAATTTTTACTTAAAGATCGTTATAAAAACAAAATAAACAATTTATCAAATCCGGATGAAGACACATTT